GTAGTCGTGGTTGTTGCTGTTGTTGTGGTCTTCGCCATCGTCGTTGTCGTAGCAGCAGTACGTGGAGCGTAGTACTTATAGTACGTAGCAGTAGCAGCATCAACAGCAGCAGTTGTAGGAGGAGGAAGACGTTGCAGCAGCTGTGGTAGCAGCTGTGGCTGCAGTAGCAGATGTGCGGTCGCAGGAAAGGGTAGTTGTTTTCTTGCCTGCAGAAAGGCTGCTACATGCCTGTTCCCTCGTCGTGATGAGCTCAGAATGCGGGGTTTTGGCTTTTGAAGTTTTTGAATGGAGGGCTTCTCTTGAGATCAAACCGGGGCCAAACGTTTCAGATTACTATGAAATCGCTGAATACCGGCCGCATGTGTAATTAGCGAGACTTGGATTGCATGCTCACGGGTTCAATCGGGATTTGTTGGACTATGGGCCTAGGAGGGGGGCTCCCGTAAGTCACAGGAGCCCATCCCTGATTGAGGAGACTCGGAGGACGGAGTCCCGTGTTGATGCCGCCAGATACTTTTGATTCCAAAGACCGATTGTGTTGTAGTTCGCTCCTGAAGTATCCGAGCGTAGGGGCTTAAGCTCCATACTTCAAGCCCTTACACGCCTCAAATCACAAAGCCCGACCACCCTGAACCCTCCCCTAAACCCTTGACTTTAAAACCTAAATGCGAACTATGGATCAGCATTGCCCGGGCTGCGACAGTCCAAACTCTAAATCCTACACCCTGAAACCCTAAACGCTAAATCCTAAGCCATATATAAATGCCTCAAATATTCTCCTGCTTTGAAATTCCCAGCAGGTGGAGGATGCCAGCGCTGATCCGGTCTGGCTACAGCTGCCAGGCCGCAGCCATCAAATGCCGGCCATGAGGCGGGGGAGTTGTAGAATGCTATATGCGATTATATAAGCAGACTACTAACAGTAGCAGTGGTAGTAGTAGTAGTAGTAGCAGCAGCAGCAGCTGCAGCTGCAATGCTAAATATACGCGAATATAGAAATAATGCTGCAATGCTATATGCATGTATTAAGCCGTATCATGAGTAGCAGTGTGCTTGTGATGAACATTCGCATGTTGAAATTTACCACATTATTTATTCTTATACGTGTACTTGTACTATTACTATTTAGCACTATTGTTCCCAGCAGTGTTATGGCATGTTCTGGCTATTACTACAACATCATAACTTATTATGACTTGTCTGAGATCGACTAGATGTTGCTTCACCGCGCGGATCTTCAAGGCATTGCGGTGTTTAGCTACCAACAATTATACTCCTTCGGGCCATGGGGTTCTTTACCATTTTCCAAGCCGCAGACGTATTCCACCTCCTCCCGGTTTGGTGCAGAGGGTCTCAACCGGAAGTGGGGGTGTCACAAAGCAGGGGTACAGCACCTTGATTTGGGGGGCTGTTAGTCAAGGATTCCAGGATCCGATTTAAGTAGACTTCAAGGATCCCAAATGTCCTGAAGCCATCTCGTAGATTGGTTCTGGCGAGGTGGGTGAACTCTGCCTCGAGCATCGTGTCAGAGAAGATCCAGTACGTGCCTAGTCGGCCTTGTCTCGGAAATCCATGGCAGGATCTTGAAGCCCGAAACCTTACCTTTGCCATTAAAACTGAAAAGTGTACCGAGGCAGAAACAATCATATACCTCGGGCACTATGGAACTGAACCCGAAGCGTTTGAGACCCGATGAAGACGAATGGGGCTCCTTGCACGGCTTCTTGCTTCCGGCCGAGGCTCGGAAAGTGCTTGTAAGCACAGCTTCTTCCAAAATGAAGGCTTCCTTTCAGCATCTTGAGACCGTAATCGGGACTCCAAAGAGCAGAGTTCAGAACCCCCACCCCGCAACTCCACCGGAAGACGCAGAGAGCCATAAGATTTTGCATGCCCAGTTCCCCAGCCCTCAAGACCCGTGCTTGCAGCCGCAACTCCATCAAAGAATATTGCTGCCCAATTTAGTGTAAGGACCCTGAACATGCAAGAACCCGTTCTTAAAGGGCGGGTCAGAACAGACATCTGCAGCTGAGACCCCAGCGGACATGCCCTTCATGGCCGGCTTGACGCTGGCAGAGTTTGAGCTCCTGGTTCCGCGAGGGCCCGCCATCCAAACCACATGTTTGGGTTTCATTGTTTTTGGGATGCACGTGAATCATAATATGGTTTTTGATGTGTATATATAGAGCCGGCCGTATCAAGAGTCATGAATATATCACTATGTTGCGATGACATGCGTGTTTGGGAGTTTTGTTTGCGTGTGTGTGTGTGTGTGTCGGTTGTTATTTGTGGCTGCTCAAGGATAGCTTGTCAACGAGAGCCTGCACGCCAGATCAAGAGCTACCACGAGCAGAGCAAGCATGGTTGGCAGTTTTTTCGAGTTGCCTCCCTGACAAACATGCCGCATGATGGCAGAGCTTGTTGGTGTTCGTTGGGGGTCTCGGTGTTGCGTGTCAGTGTAACGCGTATGAAGGATCCCGCATGTAGCAATGGTCAGAAACAGCAGAGCGGTCGAGCTCGAAGCCAGCAGCGATGAACTGTCGAAAGAAGCATGGCTCATCGCGACAGAATCGCTAATCACCCTCCATGTCATGGCAACGGCCGGCAAGGAAGGAAATCAGAACCATCACATGGTTCTTCGTTGCGAGACTGTGAAGCCTTCAAACCTTGAGAGCTTGAGCTTCAGCCCTGAAGGCCTTAAAGTGTTTGCAGGCATGTCCGCTACAAGCAGCCCGGCCTGCCTGCGACGACTCTGCATCGGCATTGCCGAAACGAGCAAGGTGCTCAGAGGGTTTTCCTAGGACATGGTCTTGAGGCCCCAATGTTACATCTTCCGGTCCCGAGTTTCTGTGTGCTAAGGATAGATCCGCCGCTGCCCGAGGCCGCCCTGGAGATCAAACATGCTTGTTTTCGACCCAATAATAATAATAACACTAATACGAATCTCCAAACTGATACTAATGCTGAGACTGATACTAATACTATATAGTTCCGCTACCAATACTGATAAAAATGCTGATTCTAATACGAATACTAATGCTAACAGAAATATTACGACTAAGACTCATACTACCATCAGGTAGTAATACTAGAAATAACAATGAGAATATTTGTCTTGTTATAGCAAGAATAGCAGGAGACCTTCAAGGGAATCGAAAGATTTCAGAACATGTCAGGTTTGCAGTACCAGGATCCTCGCATGTTGATTTTTGTTTGTGCAGGTGTTGCGAAGAACGCCCCTCTATGTGGCGGCGGCCACCGTTGGGATCACCTGCCGGGTTGGCGCCACGGCCTCGGGGTCGTTCTACGTTATCTTCGGAGCTGTTAAAACTTCTAGTGCTCTTCTAGACTATAAGATAGCTCCCACTATGCACATTTTAGGGCGGTTGCTTTTACATGGGTACCAACTGGGGTATGTTTATGTATAAGCACAGAGACTGCATTAAGGCTTTTGCGCTTGAAGCTTGATGGGAGAATTTGGAGAGTTCGGTTTTGTTGGTGCAGCCAGTACACAAAGCGCTGATCTTGCCATTGTCGTGTAACTATGAACAGGACATGTCTCGTGTGTGCAGGGCCTGGTTTCTTTAGGGTTTAGGGTTTAGGGCAGGGAAGGTCGGGACATTCGAACGCAAGATATTGTGCTTGTGGTTCTCAGGCACATCAGAAGTCTCAAGTTGGTTTAACTCTGTCTTTGCATCCCCGTCGGCCCTGATGTACATGAAGGCTTCATAGCTGGTCCAGCTGTTGAAACAGGGACCCAGTATGAGTTATATCTGAAGCGAAAGATCCATCGAGCAGGGAGAAATGTAACTCGATCTGTCACGGCAGAACCTAACATGTTTCATGCTTGTCCGAGTTATGAGAGCGTAACGCGACCTTTGGCGCTCTAGTGCAGGCTGAAAACCGGGGAAAATAAAGCTACCCCTAACCCTCAGGAAATAAGAAATCCCCAGATCTAAGTCTGAGCCTGCCTTACTTGCACCGCCATCTAGTCTTGTATGTTCCTGGCAGTGCGACTCAGCTAGCTAGGTGGTTTGGAAAGTGGAAAGAGACCTTGATTCAGGTCATCGCGCACCCTGAAGGTTTCAGGATAGTCCTCACGGACTGTGACGAAGTGGCGCGGGACACCGCAGGGCCGCATGGTTCTCGGAGAGCCAACAAAGAGCGCATCACTTCTGTTGCATTCTACTTGTCTGACCTTGCAACTGGTTTCCTGGTACGAAGAGACCTCTTGACCCCTCGACTTTTCGCATGCTTGACTCTGCTTTGTAATTTATGAGGCTAGCACGGCTGCGGCGACTTTAGTTCGCACCCCGAGTTTGTTGACCCGAGCCTTCCTGTTTCTAGAAAATGCCAGCATGCATCAAACGCTGCGGTTTGCAAGAGGAGCTACTGGTTCCTTTTCAAGCAGCTGCCGGCAGCTTCAGCGGCGAGCCGTGGCAACATGGTCTCAACCTTAGTTCAGGCTGGTGTGCTGGTCGATTCGACGGAAGTTTGGTTTGATTCTTGAGAGGATAGGCATGGGTCTTCTCACATTGATCTGGTGGTCTTGACCCCCTTGCTATACACCCACTGCATCGTACTCAACTCCTCAGTATACAGTACTTACCGGCGTCAGGTTTCATGAAATCTTCGCGCGAAGAACAGGCCTTGGAGGCCTTGGACACCAGCACCCACGATACCTCCGTGCGTACGTACGGAATACACTATACTTACATACTTAGTTTTGCCCTAATTTGTCCTAATTTGTAGACAGGTACAATTTACATTCGGTCTTGAGATTCTGATCCAGGTCCTAAGCCGCAGACTCCCTGACCAGACTGGAGAAGAGATGGCCTGCTGAGCACACGACGGGAATCATAGTCAAAAGCAAATCGCGGACATTGCCAATTGCGAGATGAGCAGAATCTTCCCTTGAGGGGACCGCCGTGAGGCCGCAGCATCCGCACAAACTCGGAGAGCCACGGCTCCGACAGCCTCAGGATTTCCCAGGGCTTTATGGTCCAGGAAGGGGTTAGGGCAACGATAATAGAACTGATGATTCAACTGTCAGAATGCCGACGCGACCCAGGGAGACTGTGTTGATACCATGAGGAACAGACACGATGACAACAGTTCCGGTTTAGGCATCATCGTCCTCATCACTGCTACTTCCGTCTTTAGTATGAAAATGGCGGTACTGTCGCACTGATGCAGCCCTGGCAAACAGTAGAACCGGTGAAGCTACTGCGATTTCTGGTCGTGATGTGTAGCGAGACCCTCGAGGATGGCGCGGCAGAGAGAGGGCACGTGGTTAGGGATAGCAGGAGATCGTGCATTGTTGGGCCGTGCTCCTTGTTCCAAGTCTAGAGAAATTGGTCGGTCAAGTTATCCCCGCAGGCAAGGACTGAGTGTTGGTCTCCAGATTTCAAGCAAAACTTGATGCAATTCACTATATCCCAGCATATCCCAACCGTGGTCCGGACTTGTCCAGGAGCGCCCTCCAGGATGCGGTAAGCCAGTGGGTCCAGGATCCACTCATGGCCTGATTTGTATTCTTGGGCCGAGGCTAAGGGTTGGAGCTCGTGATCTGATTTCATGGACATCTGTAACCTGGGAGATCGAGTGAGAAAGACCTTGTACTGTATGCTCCATGGGGGAGGTCTGTTCCGAGGATTCACCAGTCTTTGAATGAGGGATCTTGTCGTCGCCTGAAAAGGAGTATAGGTTCCAATAATGCCAGCTTGAACACCGCTGCTTCCTCGTCGTTCATCTCCCGACCCCCCCCAAAAGCAAGCAGACCTTCATGGTATTTCCGTTTCCACTTGTCACACAGAAACAAGATCCCTGGTGTACGGGAAGGGTGCGCCCACAAACTTAAGCTCTCCCGCAAGATGCAGGAATGCTGGGCGAGGTTAGCTCGCGAAGGGCTTCTGTGTGAATGGTCAGGAGTCAAGAATGCAAGTAGGGCGTAGTTGGTGTCTGCGTTGGTATCCAGGTACTGGTTTCGAAAGAACTGAACGCAATGATAACTGCATAACTTCTATAATCTATGTTACTGTTATCTAGGTGTCTACTGCAGCAGAATCAAGAACAACCGCAGCCCTGCACCATCTATCCGGATGTCAGAAGGTTTCCTCCAGCTTTCTTTGAGCAACAGCAACAGATGGTCGCTGCCGAGCGTTGATTGATTCAGTTCATACAGCTGACGCGAAGCCCCAGATCGTGACACCCTAAGCTCTGAGACCTCGCTTTGCAAATTGCCGGGTGTCATCCTAGCCAGGCGGGAGGGCGAAAGCAAAAACCACAATTTACCCTCTCTAGGATGCAGATGCCCGGGGAGTTCCACACTGGGAGCTCCTGTCGCTCGCCCAAAGCCTATGCTGGCAAGGTGGTATAGGGGCTTTAACTTAGGATTTCAGGTTTCGTAGCTTTGCGCGGTTTGAGACTGATACGCTTCAAGCCGCACATCTTAAGCTGGATTGGAGGCTTACGAGATGGGTGTTCCACTCTGAAGGCTTGCCTCACCATTGTGAGACTGTTAGTTGCCGGAGCACGAAAGCCGCACATACCATGGTCGAAATCAGCGTAGGAAACCTCGCAAGGGCCCTGCAGTCCGAAGGCCGAATGGAGCCTAAGACACCGAAGCCTCAAACGAAACCCTAAGCCAAACTGATGATGTTCGGACTCTTGAACTCTTCAGGTGGGTGACGCCTGCTCCTGCCAATTACCTCCTTGCCTGCGCTGATCTTACAACAGACCCGATTTGTGACATTCAGGCGGGTTTGCACGATTGAAGCACGTGCCGACATAAAGCAAGTAGTCTTCATCGGGGCTTGGGCGAAGATGGTTCTTCTGATATATGCATAGTGCGCTTGTTTGCTCGAACTTTCAGAGCGAATCGAGATGGTGGAGCATCAAGCGGTATCGACAGCATGACGTGCTGTGGTTCTTGGTGTGCAGTTGTCGGAAGTGTCGAAGAACTCAGGCTTGGAGCCTGCCCTGCGCTGGCCGCCTCAGCCCGACAGCGTAATGGTCGTCGGGCACCCTGCGATTTCGAAGACTGCATGTTGGTGTTGGAACGGCTGGAAGTTCTACAGACTCTTACTCCACTGTGCTTTCAGCTGCCTAAGATACATTGCTCAGGAGTGGAATTTTCAATTTCTTGGGATGAAGACATGCTTGCATCGACCAGTAGGAGACGGTGGAAAGCGGCAGGCAACCTGGGAAGAACGAGACAAGCTCAGAGATAGTCGTGTCGAGTTGCATGCGGAAGAGGAAGGCAGAGTATGGCAGAGGCAGCCCAGATGAAAGAGCTCTCTTGTCGGTTCATTGGCCCTTTGCTGTGAGTGTTTCTGTGGGATCGGGACGACCACCTCGTGACTATCTTACTGGATTAATGTGGTAGATGTGTTTTGGCTTGCCAAGATCTGCGACTCTGTTGCACTGGAATCGTTCCAAATATTTACTCGGACCGTCTCAGACTCATCCGCGCGATTCGCCTTCTCACCTACACTGCTCGACATGTCTGCGGTTTTTGGATAGCCTGGCAAGCTCAGTCCCCGCATGGTTGGCGCGCTTTTTGCCACGTTGTCCTTTCCCTAATTAAGACATTCCAACTCATGTCGGGTTTCAGGGGTGGTATGCAAGGACACCTCCGCAAAGGCATTGCAAGTTCAAGAACATGTCAGGCTTTGCACTAACCTTGGACAGACTAAATGCGCTACAACCACGATCATCAGTGGCAGTTTCCGCTAAGACCCTCAGCAGAAAATGGAACATGGTATCCCGCACTCAGGCTGCCAAAGCGGAGATTGTCCTGAGCCAAGCAGCTTTTTCCGCCGCCCTGCGGCAGGCACTGAAGGACGCACAGTCACGTCTGGGCGGCTTGCAGATCGATGTACACACGTGTTGGAGTCTGCACGTGTTTGTGTATACGTTGACGGAGGGGGAGGGGAGGGAGAGGGGAAAGGGGAGGGACCTTGTAAGGAAGAGCAGCCTCAAGCCCGGAAGCTTGGAAACCAGCAGCACGCGCAGAGACAGCTCAAGAGTACAGAGCAATTAGAAATGATACACATGCGGATGGAGATGCACGCAGTACGCACCCGGGACGATACTGGTAGCATCGATGTATCTCTCCACTTCATATGTAGATGTTGTGAAGCCTTGCGGACACGTTGGTTCCGAGAGTGGCCCTTCTAGCATTCGGTGTTTCCCAGTGGCGTTCCTCAGACTGCTTCGTTTCGTTCCCTAAGTCCGAGCTGCACGGTGGAGGGTTTGCTTGTCCTGGCAATCAGAGGCTTCTGAATTCTTGTGGCTGGGAGGCAGTGCATGTTCGTTTGTCATATTGAAAGGTGATGACTGCAGCTTAGCCAAGCATCTGAAACGGCACATGGCTGCGATGTCGCTGGTACAACCTGACGTTACTTATCACACGGATGCGTGTCTTCAACTTGTTTAAGCTTCCTTGTCAACCTGATAGTATAGTTGATGATCGTCCATGCTGTGCTACGGCTATCTGCGCAGGATGCGAAGCGAGACAACAGCATGCTGCTCAGACCAGGGCTTGCCGACGCACTTGTCGCAGCCTTCTAGCTGCTTATTCCGATGTGAACCAATTGTTTGGAGCGCTACTAGCACTACGACGACTACCACTACTGCCGCGGGGTTGAGCATGAGGATGAGGATGATGATGCTGATGGATGACGATGATGATATATGATGACGATGGTGATGTTGTGGACGACTGCAGCACACGGACTCCTGCATTCGATGTTCAAAAGCAGGGCAGTACCAGCCAGACAACGGACGCGCACATGTTCAAGGGATTTGATGGTGAGTTTTCGGAGTGATTTACCTCCCATTTGATACTAGCCAGCCCCCTCGAAAGCAAAATCTAACAAGCCACGATACTGATCGAACCGCCCATAGGCTTGCGGCCGTCGCGCGCTGCGACGGTTTTCACGGAGATCACTCAGGAAGGCAGGTATCGATTGTCAGATAACAGCGCTGATGGCTAAGTATCGGCCGTTCCTCGTTGCTGCTCGATACTAGCCAAACGACCGAGATGAAGAGGTCGGGTCGACCCAGCCGGACTCAATTTTGTTGTTGTGTCTGGGGGATTGCTCTGCTCAACTGTGAAACTCGACGTGCCACTCAACGACTTCGCGTCTTAGATGAGGATTCCGCACTGAGGCGCTCATTAAGTCAACAAAACCGATAAGTGTGATCCTGGAGTACTGGAGATCGTTTGTCGTAGCCGGTGACCTAAGCCCTTCACCTGCGCAGCCATGCAGACGACTCTCCGGGACCAAGACGGAGCAAGACGACTTCGGAAGACGCGCCACATCTCTGGGCACCAGCCTCAGAGCATATCTCTTACTTACTTGTAATACTACATTATTTATGGTTCATCATAATTTTGACAAGACTATAATAACTACACTATATGTTGGAATCTATTGTAGTATGTTTGTTATGAAAACAGTTGTTTGGGATGCGATCTATGGTGAGGGTTGTGCTGAATTGACTGAAGAATGTAGGCTTTCACGTTGCTTCGTGCGGAGTTCGGCGTGAAGAGAGCCAATAAATTCGGAACTCGAAGGCCCATGGATATTCAGGGTACATGTTTTGAAATTATTCAGTTCAAGGCTTGAGGGAGTTTGCAGGTTCGCGCTTCAGGTCTATATGGCAATGACTGATGCACATCATCCGGATCCAGTTGGGTTTTCGGTCGCTACAGAAAATGGTCATGGCACTGACTATTTGGCATTTAGAGGAATCTTCGGCAGCTTGATCAGATGCTATACAAGGCCCTGCGACCTCTGTCCATCATAACATTTCAAGTCTTGCCATGGATACGAGCCGTGCCAGCCCTAGCGCCCTAGCGGTGACATGGAGTTCGGAATGGTGTTCACAAGTGCACGGGATGTTCACGGAAGCGTGAGCTTCAGCGGGCCACGCATTCAGCACGCCACACTTACAGTCTGACTTGATATTCGGTCTCAGTTGCCTGGACAGCTCCAGGCCCATGAGTTGCAGTCCGCGGATCGGGACCTCAATGCAAAAATGCAAGCCCCAAGCCCACTAAGTCATGCGAAAACAAGTCAAAGCGCGAGTGCCGAAACATACGTGCATATCCAGACCATGGAGTCTGAGCTGGACTTGGAGCGCAGCAGCCTTACTGTCAGACAGTCGTGCCGGGTCACTTCAGGTTTGTTTGGGTTTCTGAGGCTTTGGGCTTTGTAGCCAGGAGCTCCCAAATCTGTCCTTGCGGTTTCAGCATATGTGCGAGACACCGGCCCTCGAGTGACTGTCTGCAGAAGGAAAGCTTGCTGCCTTGCTTTAATCCTTTGAGGGGCATTGTCAGGTAATGGCTGATACGGCTAACAGTCCGTGTATCTATTCATTTCAGAACTCAGTCTCAATGAAATCCGGCGTGTCCTTTGAGCCCCGCTCCGTCTGTCTCTCTTTCTCTCTCTCTGTTCGATTCTTTCTCTCTGTAAACACGAGCTGTAAACTTTCTCTGTTTGCTTTCCATCCGAGGCCAGACCCTCACAACTTTAGATGCATGCATCTACTAGCAGGAACATCACGATCGTCCCATCCTGTTCAAAAAGGACTCGCAGCCGTGCTGCGCGTAGAACTTGACATGTACAGGAACGGGAGAGCACAAGACCAAGTCTACGGGAACTTCAAGACAGCCTTCTCTTGCATGATTGATATGATAAGTGTTGTTGTCATTTGTGTGACTGTGCGTCTTGATTGCAAGATCGTTCCAGCATTTAGTTGGAACCCAAGCTGAAATATACTTGAGGTTCGCCTTCCACGGATGAGCTCCAGGAGGAACTTTCCACCGAACGAGCTCCCAAGGCACAGCGACGGGCACCCGAAGACTATGGCACCTGCTCGTGCTTATGTGGACGTTATATTCCGGGTTTCAGTCGGTGCTGGGTAGCCGTTTGGGAGAGCGGCAAGTTTGGTCGTAGTTGTGGTCCATTGGGTTGGCGGCCGTCGTTTCATGCGCGACATCGATATGGCGACGACAGCAGTTGAGGCTCGAGATGTTTTATGCACAAGTCCACTTAAATACTGTATCCCATGACTGAACACCTATCATACAAAGGTCTTGCACTCCCATTCTCATGTCATCCATGGGTGCATAGTGTCGTCTACGCTGCTGCGATCTATGGGAAACCAAGCCAAAGGCTCCAACAAATTTCACTCTTTCAAGCATTAGCATGCAAGATCCGGCGGTCCTCAAACAGGCCTCTCTCACTTGACAAATGACAAAGATCCGACAGATCATATTCCAACAGGGTCTGGCAGGTTCTACCTTCTCGCCAGGTCCAAGACCACAACAGAGAGCAGCAGGAAGCATAGCTTAGACGAAGGAGACTCAAGAACTTCAGCGGAAGCCTACAGACGCCGCACGGCCTGCGACGCCATGATTCCAGGAGGAGATGCCCCAGTGCCCGGCGGCACTCCGGGTGCACCGGGCGGCTCTCCAGGGGCTCCTGGAAACCCGGGAATGCCAATGCCGATGATGGGTATGCCCATGGGCATGAACACCATGAACATGGGCGGAATGAATCCTGGAATGAATGGCATGGGAATGCCTATGGGCATGCCGATGATGGGCGGCATGGGTGGCATGGGTGGTATGGGCGGCGGCATGGGCGGCGGCATGGGCGGCATGGGGATGCCGATGGGCATGCCAATGATGGCAATGAATCAAATGGCTATGATGAACATGGCTGCGATGATGAACAACATGATGGAGCCGCAAGAGGAGGAGAGGGTCCAACCTCCACCCGACCCTATCGATTCTCGAGTGAAGGAAATATGCCGACACTTCGGAATTGAGGACAAGATCTGTGAGAAGCTGAACAAGGCCATGAAGACCCGCGAAGACTTCGATGAGGACATGCAGGCCCTTTGGCACATCATGGAGAGGGGGGTTAAGAACAACAAGAAGGCCGTGGACGTAATGCTCGTGAAGATTCGCGAGATCAGCAACGGCACCTTCGTTGGCAAAGACTTGCTTGACCCGGAGATTAAGGACTTTGCCTGGAAGTACAACCTAGATGACCGGCTGCTCCTACGCCTGATCACCGTAATGAAGAAGCGCAAGCAGCACAAGAGCCAGGATCTCAAGGACATGGAGGAGCGCATCGGCACCGCCAAACACCCCTCAGGTCTTCTAAATCGGATGCTCGAGTGCTTGGAGGAGAGTGGCAAGTTACCCCCTGCCCCAGGCTGGCTGGTACAGAGCCGTGCTCGTGAACCCGAGAAGTCCGACAAGAGCCGCCCCTCCCGCTCGCGCTCCCGGGGCTGAGATGAGACGAATCGCCAGGCCAAAAAGTGCTCCGAAACTTCCTGGACATGGCGCCTGAAGCAGGAGAGTGGGAGGGCAAAGACGCAACAAGTTATACCAACAGCACCCAATAGCAAACCCCCACACTTAAGCCCGAGTCCGCCTGTAGGTTCGCCATGCCTCTTCCTTGGCGAACTGGGCTCCGCCCCGGTCCCGGCCATGACATGTCCGGTGCAGGGCTACAGGGTTCAGGGTGGGTTCCACTGTTATCCCTACGTGTAAGGCCGTGGATTCGTTGTAGTGGTGAATCCCGCACGGGCTTTGGTCCTACATGATTCAGGCTCCGATATTTCGGGTGAAGTGGTCCGCGGGGTCTTGGGACTCGTTCGACTAGACAATGCGACTTCCCAGAATATGTGGGCTCGCTTGTGTTGACCTTGCCAGGCTGTTACCCGTCTGACTTTTTCGGGAGAAGTGTCCGGCACATGTCCAAGAGCCGGAGACAGAAGACAAGGAGGTTCCAGACACATTCATTGCTGCCAGGTTTTAGCTGCAGCAAACTTGGCCCTGCGTTGGCGGCCTCCGGTATCCAACTTGGAATCTGCAACACCTACCCTCCGAGTACAGACCTGCACTTCTCATCCTCAAGCTGGACAGCATCGGTCAACCACCCTCGGAAGCACAGTGGGCCGAAGCTCTGGTGCCAAGGAGGCGCACTAGCTGTCCCTCATGCAAACTGACAAACTCCGTAACTTGGTTGGTCCTTTCTCAAACCTCCAGGCATCTCCAGGCCCTCCACCGCACGAATCCACGCGCATTCAGGACGTTGGAGGAAGTGGTGCCCGTCATTGACACGCATGACCCCTCGCGGCAGCAGCGCTACATAGCCAAGCTCCAGGCACCCTTGATCTTGCGAGCTGATGGAGCAATTGGTCGGTGTTGTTCCGAAGTCTTGTGGTTTGATGATTCGGGATGCACAGAGCCGAGAATGATGTGCCACGTCTCGGCTGTTGGGGTCTGAGACCTGTCGGTGGCGGGGGATTTCAACACATACGCAGGCCAAGGCTTCAGACTGTGCTGAGAGCATGGAGGGCAGACGTAGGGCTGTAGCTGCTCTGCACGCTGCATGTTACATGCTGTTGTGCTGTTGCCGCTGCCGCTCCTTCCCCTGCTGCGCCTCGCAGGAATCGCAGTCAGCAGCTCTCACTAGCAAAACAACTTCAGGCAGCACTAAGGTCCTTGCAGAATCCTAAGCCCTCGCCGTCATCTGAATCTCAAGCCTTAGGCCCTTAGGGGATACTCTTGTTAGTGCTGTTCTGACTCATGACTGTCAGTACTCCCGGTTTTTGTTTAAGTCTGTGCAAATTATCGAGTTGGCCAGGACAGCCTGGCCGAAGAGTTGGCCATCGTCCGGCTCTTGGAGGGTAGGCCCTTTAGGGCTTTAGGGTCTAGGGCCTTTAGGGTTTCGGTCTTCAGCGTCTGTGTCCGTGTACAAGTGGGGCATCGTTGTGTCCGACCTCGCGACAAGCAAGGATTTCAGATTGCTGGCTGCACGCTGTGCGACTGACCGGGGCTCTGTCTTGGCTGCCGAGGCCATGGATGTAGACCCCGAGGACCCTGGTATGGAATCTGCTGCTTTGCTGCTTTCTTTGAGGCGTTCGGTCCTTTCTTTTTCCGGGCTTTTAACGCAGGGCTGCTGGTGATGGCTTGATAATATGAGTTTCTTGCTTCAGGCTCGTTTAATGATCAGCGTGGCGAGGCTCATGAAGATGTCGAAGGACAAATTGGTCCAATGTATCCAAAGCACCCCCCCATACCTCTGCAGTCTCGGGGAGCAGAAATCTTCGGGTTGCAGCTTTGTTAAAGTTGAGGTCAGCATCGGATGCCGTAGCAAGCACCCAGAGAACCTACGGGATTTCGTTATCCAGGGCATCCAGGGCTTGTGACAAATATTGGCAGCTACCATGCTCTAGCGCAGGACGTCATTGTGTCGAGCATCGAGGAAGATGAGCCTGGCACACAGATGATGGACTTGCTGCTCGGAAGATCACGAAACTCTTCATTTCCGGCTCCTGACATGGCTATTAATCCAGTGTTAATTCTGTTGAAGCTACATACGGCTAGGTACCTAGCAGTCGGAGTTTCTCCCTTGTTTGGGAAATGATGCTGATCAAAGAAAGCAACCATGACATGCCGCGCCTGCAAGAAGCTTACAGCTTGGCCAATCTGTAGCTGCAGCTAGAGCGCTCTGTTTGTGTGTGTTTTGGCCTGTCTTTATGCCTGTCTGAGCCTGCAAACCTGGAGAGCTTTCGTGTATACTGTACCTGGTTGTCTATCTATTTGTTGGTGCAAGCAGCGCGGGCCTCAGACTTTATAGCACCTGTGCCACACCGACCCCAGGCCCCAGGCAGCATGGGACATGATGGACTTTAAAAAGGCTACACCCGACCCTGAACCTTGTGAACCGTAAGCTTCAACCGCTGCTCTGTCGAGTACAAAGTCCCAGGTGTGAGTGCTGAAACCCCAACCGCTCGGACGCCTCGCCTGGACATGTATCGGATCTAAGTTCTAACGAAGCTAGGAATGGCAACTGGAAAGCCATCTTCTCGGCCAATGCTACGAAGACGGGGGCCGTCATGTTGTGGATTTGGATATGTCCAGGCTTCAGGGGTTGAGGTAGGGCTTTTCATGTAGCTTAACTAAGAAGTCCTTTTGTCAGGACAGGTGTTCTAGATCCTTCTGGCTGCAGCTAAAATCGCGTGGGCCTACATTGTATGCGTCTTGGATTTCGGGTGCCTTTATCGCAGTCGGAGCGACAGGACTCGGAGAAGTTGGAGACAAGCTTCCATGGCACTTTTGATCGATAGGCCTGTCGACACATGCCATGAGAATAGTCTAAACTAGAAAATATGGGTTCGCTAGAACAAAGCGTTTCCGGGAACATCAACGCTAAACGTCTCGGAAGCCGATGGCTCTCAAGTTCTCCTGCGACGGTAGACCCCTCGCCGCGGGCACCGAACTTTTCGTATGACCAGCTCTCTGTTGCGACCTAGGTTGCGACTACAGGGCTTTCTGGCATTGATTCCCCTCTGCGCGGCCTTCAGCAGACCGAAGTTCCAGCTGGAGGCGTCCAAGTTCGCAGCAGATGGGCGCGCAGATGGTGCAAGGGAAGACCTAACTCCGGACGAGAAGCCCATCGACAGGCCGTTGCAGCAGTGGCCGGATTGGAAGCGCTCGCACGAACACATTTGCAGCTTGTTTCCTGGTCTCTTGTGCGCGGATGCTCTTGCGCCAGCCTTCAAGGTCTCCAGCATGGCCACACTAGACTTACGGGAGGACATGCTCGGCATCGGCTCGGGCTGGTTCGTCCTGGCCGTCCTCCCCTGCGCAGCCCGGGGACTCTTCGGTCTCGCTTGCAACCAGGGAGCCCCAAAAGACAGAGTCGACAGAGCTATTGCAGTGGCACCTTCTAGGGAGGTTTCGTTTATCGATTGGTGGAGCTGCGGCCCACAGATCACGATGGCATCGCTGAAAGTCTTCCTCACAGCTCTGCTTCTGCTCGAGCTGTTGGGCTTGCAGGCGCCGCAGACGAACGTCTTTGCCCTGCCTGAGACTATCCGGCGAGTACGGGCTCACCCCTATGGTAGGACGCCGGAGCTAGGCTTTCAGTCAGGCTTCACCAGTGGCGACACAGGCCTGATGCCCCGGCTGACGTATCTTTTCATGCCAAGCTTGAACGATCAAACGGCAGACAGCTATGCCAGAGTCTTCTCGATCCTGCGGACGTCGATGCTGGTGTCCTGGTGTGCTTTCCTTGCCCTGCCAGGCGCTTGGACGGCCTCGTGGGGCTGCTTTCTTTGGGGAGTTCTGGTCTACGTGGTCATGGCTGCTTTGGGAACGATGTTCCTGCCAGTTTCCGTGTCTCTTTGCACCTGCTATTTCCTGATGGCGGCAGCCTGCGTCTTGCCTTCCCTGGAGAAGAGCCCCAGGGCACGGGGCTGGCTTGGCATGTTTCTCATGAACAGCTCTCTCGTTCCGTTCTATTTGTCTTCCGGGCTGTCAAAGCTCCGGTATGGAGGCTTCGGCGCCATGCTGTCTGGCAGCTGGATGAAGCATGCATTGCACATGGGTTTAGCAAGGTCAGCCCTTCCCGGCTTCACTGCATGGCTCCAGAAGACTCCTGTGGCCATGGCCATCATGTCTCTCGGTGTGAACCTGGTGGAGTTCTTGCTTCCTGTGTCGCTGCTCTTTCTCGCCAGTTCCAGCTCTGATCTTGCCCTCTGGTTACGATCTTCCTGGATCTTGTTGACGACATTCTTTCACATCACCACCATCGTGGTCGTCGGTCCGAATTTCTCCCGCCAACTTCCGCTGTTGATGATGCTTCTACACGCCTGCTGGCATCCGGTTAGGCGTACCGATGCAGAAGCAATAGAACCAGGACAGATGAAATCTTGGCGATGCAGGGTTGGCTTTGCAACTGTGCTGCTGGCTTTATGGATATGCAACCAGTTATGGTCAGACATCGACCATCTGCGAGGTGCAACACCCCACGATTCTCATCACGACATGCAATGGCCAATACCGGAAATGTCAATGTTCGTCTTCCCTTCCGCATCGACCAACTACCTCCTCTCGTTGTGCCTGGATATTGCTATTGTGGTGGGGCTCTCCTCCAAGATCTACTCAGAAATTTCACAAACCTCCTCAGGTGTCAAGAGTGAGCAGCTGTGAGTCGGCTGGACCTTCAGTCTTTCGACAGAAACGAGGGCCGAAGCCTGGTAAAGCCTCGCAGTGGCAGCGTCGGTAGCTGTAAGTAGTTCCTCAGAGGCCGTCGCAGGTTGCCCTGCCTGAAAATGCTACGTAATGTGCGATCTTGTCGTGGGTAATTTAAATTTGGAGAATCTTGTCGTGGGTAATTTAAATTTGGAGCATCAGCGGCGATCGCTGGTTCGCGAAGCAGTTTGGCAGTCGTACAGGCGTAGCTTTTGTCCAAACACTCAACCTTCACCAGCCACACATTCGCTCTGTGCAGGTATGTTGCATTTTGTACACTCTGGCGGGCTCCACGTTCAGTGTGTTAAGAGAATACTGGATAAAAGTCGATAGTGTGTGCTCGAAGTGCGCCCGATGCCCACCCGGAAGGTTCCGCTAAGTACCGCTGTGGTGAGAGGTCGCTCGGTTTTGCCAGATCCCGCCAGGGCCCGAAACGCACGCGCAAGGTTCCGCCAACTCGCTGGTGGTGGTGGTGGTGGTGGTGGTCGCGGTCGTTTTCGTCGTCGTCGTCATGGTCGTCGTGGTGCTCTATCATTGTTCCGGGATCTACGTCGGCATATGAATGTCAAAGCAGATGAAGGCACTCCAAGATGAAGGTATTGCATCAAAAAGCGAAGAAATGTTTGCCAGCGTGAACATCTTGAACACAACAGCTGAGGAGTCGGGGAGCCCCTGTCCCTGCCTGGCCAGGACTGAAATGGATGCCGCCATGGCCGGGAGAACAGAGAGAATCTTTCCGGCGGACGGGTCGGAGGCCCAGGCTGCGGAATTGGAATTCGAGAGTCCGCTGTTGGACTATAGGGTTCTAACGCTAGAGAAGCGAGCTCAACAGTGCAAAAACCAGAACAAGGCCAGCGTGTGAAGCCAGGCAAGCAGAACAGAGCAACACCTCCAGCGAGGTGATTCATACGCAACTTCACCATCTGAACAGAAGGTCTTATCGAACAACCGATGCATTTCTTCGATACGTCGCCCACTTTCTCGTCACCGCGCGATGTCATGCACTTGAAAGTACAAGATACATGTGAGCGTTCGCGTTGCTCGAGCCTGTAGCATGAACAGAACAATAATTAAGCTAAACGCTTGACCTCTCGCTGTGTCCCTGCATTACTCTTTGAGTGTGACCCGTGCGACACTGCCTGTCTAAAGATTTCGATGAACTCGAGGATTTGAGAACCCTCCATGATGACGCTGCTGATGATGATGATGCTGATGATGATGATGCTGGTGGTGGTTGATGATGGTGGTGGTGGTGGTGGTGATGCTGCTGCTGCTGCTGCTGCTGCTGGTGGTAGTGGTGGCATCTGTTTCAGTGCGTAGGGCTTGGGACAGTTGATTCAGGCTTGCGATGGTTTGCCAACCCTCCCCGAGGCCAGATGTGCGTATGAAGAAGCTGCAGAGCACGATCAAGCATGGAGGCTTCGCCAAAGATAGCAGGCTCGCCGGCTAGCTGGCACGTATGGTCCCTAGTTCGTTGGATCCCCGTGACAGTTTTCGCATGACACAGACACAATGCAAGAGGGGCTGTGCATGATCAGCAGTTCTTGGGGTAACTGTAGCAGGGTACTGAAGATGGAAGATGAAGAAGCAAGTCGTGGCTCTCGCACAATAGCTTGTAGTCAATGTCACCAGCGACCGGGCGCCGGAGGTTCATGGAGGATTGCTTAATTACATAAGAAGCAGTTGCGTCACTCGGCTCCGAGTTCCCGATGCCAGGTTCACAATGCTGAGACACGCTCCCGCCCTAGCATGTGGCTGGAGCTTGCTGGGCGAGCTGCTTGCTGCGCCGTGAATAGCCGCCTTGCTAGCACATTGTGCACGGACCAGGTGTTGCTATCGTAGCAAGGTGCAGTTCTCCATGGGCCAGACGACTACTCTATGGCCTTCTCTGGTTACTGAGTATTGAGTTGCTGGGCGATTTCGCCACTGATTGTTTTGCCAGACAGACAGTGTGACAAGGTTAAGGGTCTATAGATTCAGTGTAAAGAAATTCATTTTACTATTGCGATTACGATTACTATTGGCTGTTGCTACTACTACTGGTAGTGGCCGGAAGCTCTAGGGTGGTGTACACGGGGCCTGGACTGCTAGGCTCTGTTGCACCCTTCCGGAACTACGTTGCAATGGTTGCGAAGTCCACAGCACGCACGAGACCCGGAACCCCTAAGATTCATTGATGCCTTACGTTTGCTGTTTGCTGATACTAGTACAGATATTGAGTGATGCGATTATGATTATGCGAGTCATATCATTGCGAGGCTGACGCGGATCTCCATGTCCATGAACTCGCAGTTGCCTCAGAACTGTCCGTGGTTAGAGCAATTGGGTTTCGTATTGGGGTATTTTTTCAAACATGTGACTGCCGGTGACACATCTGGTTGAGCCTTTTTTGATTCTTATTAAAACAGTTCAGTAGCGTTTTTCATTACTTGAGGGTTCATCTGAGAACTGTCGCACTCGGGCGTCACTGCTCATTATACTGCTCGTGCTACGTTGCTATGGGAAAGTGGTGGGGTCATGAGCATTTGCTACCAGTCCAGACGAGAGATCAGCACCCTCAACACGCGTTGGCACGCATTTGGAATCTCGGCTACAGTCAAACGGAATCCAAGAGTGCTTCGCTCGACTTCTCGACCCGCAGCCTCGTCCTTGCCCTCAAAGCCAGGAGTGCGGGACAGTAAAATTTTCCCAATCTGCAGCCGTATTTGGACTCATTGTTCGGGCACTTGCACTTCAAGCCTGCCGACTTCCGATCCGCGACTCTCCGACTATCATGCACCTCGTTGGAGAGAAAGACGAGACGGATCAGCAACGCGAGAATATTTCCGTGTCAGGAGTCAGGACACTCCAATTCAAGTTCTTTGGTCTTGAGCCATGAAATTTGCTGACCCTGCGTTGACCTTCAGATGCCAATCGTTCTGATGACACAGTGCGAAGCCCTTTCCCTTTCGTGATGTGCATTTTCCCACAGAAGCTCAACTGGCTTTCCCGCTTCGGTGACAACGGCCGCTTCAAAGCAACCGAGCGAGTCTTCACAACACCTGCCAAAAGAGAGGGTTGGCCGACATCGCGATGGATGTGGGGATAAACTCCTACACACCCCATAGTCGCTACCATGTACCCGACTAGTTATCCGACTAAGCTAAGACCTTCCGACCGTGATGTGGTGCTGCTGTCGCATTATTATAGTTGTGAGTGGGCCGCAAAATTGAACACGAGGTGTGTGCCCGACATATGTCGGCACTGCCTGCTGCTTGAGGGGTGGCTTACTGTCTCCGTGAAGGGCCTGAAGCGCTGAGCCTCATGCGTTGCCTGGCGCTGCTAGACCCTCTGGATGCAACGGCAGAGAGAGAGAGGTAATTGCCCTAGTCCACAGCCCTGGGGAAAGAAAGAGAGGGAGAGAGAGAGAGAGATAATTAGTTCTTATCTGCGGGGGACTGAGTGGGACCCACCAGCGGTGTGCTGACTTCCCGCGGAAGCCGCATGAACGATGGGGGCCCCATGGGCCGGGGGGCGTGACTTGCCCCTTTGACCCGAAGGAAGAAGAGATAATTAGAAGAAGAAGAACAAAACAAAAAAACGCTTTGTTTATAATCGTAATAATGATAGTGATAACCGTAATGTATCTTTAATTTCATATTCATGAAGGGCCCATCCCCTGAAATCCTCAACATCCCAGGAGCGCCTGCAGATCACTGACACTGCTGCCTGGTGGTGCGGTGCCCAGATTCAGTGCATCACCTTCCCCCGGTGCAAAAATCGTGAGGAGTTGTATTTTCAAGTCGAGTGATTTGCAACTAAAGCACAACGGCCGTTACAGGTCAAGCAGCATCCAAAAAAATCGTAACTCGCGAAAAGCATCAAACAATGCCAAGTTAGCACGGTGCACTTCAGATCTGTCACGACCGTGCCAAGAAGTACTTGCAGCATCATCAGCGGACATCGCAGAGGTTTATGACTTTGCTTGATCGGCATCCCTCCATGTTTGCTAGGCATCCACCCATGGAAGCACCGCAACCTCATGAGATGAGCTTGTTGAGCCATCCAACGCTTTAATCCTCCCCTGCCAAGTCGCGGTCTTGGCGGCTTCACCGTGGAAGACACGCGGAAGCTGCTAGGCTTCCAGGACAGTTCAGGGCAGTTTGTGTACTGGGTCGCATGTGCGGTTGTTTGTGGCATTCAAGGCCGGCCCTTTTTCCGCTGTGGTTCTTCTCATCGTGAGGGTCACAAGCTTTATGCGCATTCTTGCTAGCCGCAGGTCGTCGTCATCGTCGTAGCAGGTAGTCGTACTAATCCGAATTCAGCACAGACGTCTACGGTTACGGCGGCTCCTCCTCCTCCTCCTACTACTACTACTACTACTACTTCTTTTACTACTTTTTCTACTACTACTGCTGCTACTCCTGCCACCACTGCTACTGCTGCTGCTGCGGCTACTGCCACAGCTATTACTACTACTGCTGCTACTACTGCTGCTGCTGCTGCTGCTGCTACTACTACTACTACTACTATTGCTACGACTACGACGACGACTACTACTGCTACTCCTACAACTACGACGACTACGACTACCGACGACTACTACTGCTTCCGCTACTCCTACAACTACGACGACTACGACTACCCACGACTACTACTGCTACTGCTACTGCTACTCCACTTCTGCTTGTACTTCTACTAGTCTACCTACTACTGATGCTACTGCTATGCTATGACCACAGTAACTGGCACTGTAGTGGGAGTAGACGAATCAGCCATGAAACCCCGTTTCCAAGCAATTTGAAGTCGCAGTGCCATCAGAGAACAAGGCGGCAGTATTGCTCTAGATGAACCTTACATCCGTGTGGAGAGTGATGTATCGTTCGAGCATACGTTGTGTCCGCGGGTGGCCGCTATTGTCCATAGTTGTTCGTAGTTTGTAGACTAATGATCACCAACACTCTTATTCAGGAGTTGGT